TAATCATGACTATATCTGAGACAAAACCATGCAGAGTTTACAGAGGACCCGAATTTCACAATCAATCCCAATTTCAGAAATAACCAGAAAAATCCATGTGGGCATGGATTTATCAGAAAACTCAGAATTTGTAAACTCTCAATTCATCAAAACAGTTCAGTCAATTCCAAATAGGCATGCTGTACTCAATACCAATGAAAACAGTTTCATTTCAAACCAATCATGCTCGGTGCAATAACTCCAAAAAAACAATGAAATTCTCACTTTCATTCCAAACATGTTCAATTCCAGAAAACAGTGAAATTCTCATGAAAACCATCACAATTTCCATTTCAGTTTAATCACATTCATATGCTGATAAAATCAATTTAAAATCACTTTAAACCTTGCCACCATCTCAAAAACAGTTTAAAACATGCTTTAAAATCGAAGGGCTTTACCATAATTTACTTACCTCACTCGCACAGAACATAAGGCTAATCCAAGTGCTACAGTGACAGAACGATCAAAACCTAATCACAATATTCCACAATTAATATCGCATTACCATAAATTCAAACTGAAATCATCATCAACACTACCCCCAATCACAGTGCTATTTCTATCAATCTCCACATAACCGAACATCTCCAATTTCATTCTTATGTCACAAACTAAACCTTTAAATCCCCGTTAATCATTAACCCTCGGTGTGTGAACAGTACCCGTGAACAGTGACTTCAACTCGCAAAATTGCAAAACCATAGCTAATCTCACGGGGTTTCACACAATTAACCTCACAACAATCAAATTAAGCTAATTCTACATAAACCAAGCACAAAAACACATTTAATTTACTGCCACATGCTACCGAAAATTCCCCCCCCATTTTAGCAAAATTCGGGCAAGCACAGGACAGCACCTAATGGACAAAACCCAACCATTAAATGGGTAATTTCAGACTTAAAGGGCTGTCAACATACCAGGAAATCCAGCCAAAAACCGAAGCTGCAGTTGGGGGAAGACCGGCGGCAGTACAGGGGGAAACTCACGGCTCTACCAGAAATTGGAAGGGAATAAAGCAATTAAAGTAAACCCAACCTAAATCAAGGTGAAAGAGAGGGATTCATGGCTAGATCTTACCAGAAAAGCCCAAGAATCGCACCCAACAGAAACGGCTCGCGGA